GATGTGTCATTTTTTAGGCACAAGCTGCCAAAGAGAATTCAGGCTGTGTTAAAGAATACACGCGGTCATACCAAATATTGACTTCCAAGCTCTTTAAAATTGTACAAACTCGGATTTTATACAGTGGGGCAAAAAAGTATTTAGTCAGCCACTGATTGTGCAAGTTCCCCCACTTAAAATGATGACAGAGGTCAGTAATTTGCACCAGAGGTACACTTCAACTGTGAGAGACAGAATGTGAAAAAAAATCCATGAATTCCACATGGTAGGATTTGTAAAGAATTTATTCGTAAATTAGGGTGGAAAATAAGTATTTGGTCACCTCAAACAAGGAAAATCTCTGGCTCTCACAGACCTGTAACGTCTTCTGTAAGAAGCTTTTCTGTCCCCCACTCGTTACCTGTATGAATGGCACCTGTTTGAACTCATCATCTGTATAAAAGACACCTGTCCACAGCCTCAAACAGTCAGACTCCAAACTCCGCCATGGCCAAGACCAAAGAGCTTTCGAAGGACACCAGGAAAAGTATTGTAGACCTGCACCAGACTGGGAAGAGTGAATCTACAATAGGCAAGCAGCTTGGTGTGGAAGACATACAAGACCACTGATAATCTCCCTCGATCTGGGGCTCCACGCAAGATCTCATCCCGTGGGGTCAAAATGATCATGAGAACGGTGAGCAAAGATCCCAGAACCACACGGGGGGACCTGGTGAATGACCTGCAGAGAGCTGGGACCAAAGTAACAAAGGTCACCATCAGTAACACACTACAACGGCAGGGAATCAAATCCCGCAGTGCCAGACGTGTTCCGCTGCTGAAGCCAGTGCATGTCCAGGCCCGTCTGAAGTTTGCCAGAGAGCACATGGATGATACAGCAGAGGATTGGGAGAATGTCATGTGGTCAGATGGAACCAAAGAGAACTTTTTGGTATAAACTCCAACTCTTGAGCCACGATCGCCCCGTGGGCAGCACGGTGGCACGGTGGTTAGCACTGTTGCCGCACAGCAAGAAGGTCCTGAGTTCAATTCCACCATCAGGCCGGGGTCTTTCTGTGTGGAGTTTGCATGTTCTCCCCGTGTTTGCGTGGGTTCTCTCCGGGTACTCCGGCTTCCTCCCACCGTCCAAAGACATGCAGCTTGTGGGGATAGGTTAATTGATTAATCCAAATTGTCACTAGGTGTGAATGTGCGAGTGAATGTGAGTGTGAATGGTTGTCTGTCCCTATGTGTTAGCCCTGCGACAGACTGGCGACCTGTCCAGGGTGTACCCCGCCTTTCGCCCTATGACAGCTGGGATAGGCTCCAGCGCCCCCCGCGACCCTGAAAAGGATAAGCGAATGGATGGATGGATGGATGGTTCTAATATTACATTATTTAAAGTGGACTACTTAATAGCATCCTGAATTTTTGAGCAATTGTACAGACAAGAACACTCTGACTGTAGTGGTTTGAGTGAGAAACTACAGAAAAGAATATTCTGAAGTTGAACTTCCTGATATTTCAAAATTACTTCCATTAATCATAAGCCAACAACCATGGGCTCTATTTACAAGAATCAATGGTGCAGTTTATAAGGTCTTTAAAAAACCTCAGCTGGTCCATGCAACATGGTGGAGCAGGAGCAGAACACTGAGCTCTGCTCACATCATTGAACTTCTCACCCTATTATGCAAAGCAGGCTGAGCCGTTCTGCAAAGGAATGCCATTGGTAATGGCAAGGTTTAAGTCCCTGATAGCTGAGAGTGAGGCTTGAGCTTTATTTGTAGCTCTGCAATTTCTTTAAGTCAGCGGTGACTCAACAGTTTTTGACCACAGTCATTAACCTAACCAGCTGCTCTTAATGATGATAATATTACCAGACATTTAGAGGACTCGTTTCAAAGAGGAATGTGGATTTATTTTATTTATTTTTTTGGCTTTTTATACTCTTGGTGAATGAGCTCCAGTTCTTTGTGGATCAATAAGTTATTAGCAATAAATAGAACATAAGATACAAAAAAAGACAAGACGCATTTTTCACTCTCGTGCCTCGATCCTCCTCCAGAAACATTTCTGCTGGTGAGGTGAAGTGTGTTATTTCTTTCGTAATACAAAAAAAAAAACAAGGCGCTCTTCGAGGTCAGCTGGGCTCACCATGCTGGTTTATGCAATTACACATCTTTAATTTGCTTAGCGTAGCAACTTGTTTGCATTTAATTTGCTGTTTCATATTACAGCACAGTTGTTGTGCCTAAACACATGCCTACTCACACATTTAGCAGAAATGAGGCTGCATGAGAATCCAATTAAGGCACCTTTTCCTTTTGGTAAAACTAACCCAGTGTCACAATTTGGTGCTGGATGAGGAGCTGGATGAGGAATCAAAAGCAGGACTCTTAAACATGGAGAAGACGGATTCAAAAAGGCAGAATTATTGCGCTGTTGACACTTGAAACATAAACTCATGAACTAGAAACTAAGAACTTAAACACTAGGGAAACTAGAAAACTAGGTGCCAAGTAATTTGGAAACACACAGCACATGGAGTGGTACGACACAACAAAGGGCAAAGGAAAACACAGGGCTTAAATGCACAGGCAAGACAACGAGAGGATGGGGGAACAGGTGGGAACACCGCTGGGACAAATCTGACATAACAAGACAAAGGAAGCAAAGCAGAATACACTGACATAAGTCAACGACTATCAAAATAAAACAGGAGGCATGACATCATGCAGATGCAGACTTGACACGGAAACACGACAGACTCTGGGACAGAGGAAATACAAAAGCAAACGAAAACATGGGAACAGACTAAACATAGGCTAAACTAAAGCACTTCTGGATGGATGCAAACTGCATTTCGTTGCCCTGTACCTGTGCATGTACAATGACAATAAAGTTGAATTCTAATTCTAATTCTAATTCTAATTCTATTCTATTCTAAACACTAAGGGAGAGAGGACTAAGATTACCGAGAACTAAAGAAACCCAAACACATGAAAAAATATTCAAAGAATCTAATTCCAGAAGCTGAAACACAAATAGTGGGTCGCAGACCAAGTACCATGACACCCATCTTCTACTTAATGCAATCTGTTTGGAATGTTATCATATGTGTCCATCAATGACCTCAGTGGACATACCCTATCAGAGCAGAGAATAACCTACTGCAAATGTTCACATTTTGTAAAGTTAATGTATGTTTATCCAGCTGTCAGCTCTCACAGGCCAAACCCTGGAGAGATCACCAGTCAATCGCAGGGCTAACACAGAGAGATAGACCTGTGTTAGCACTGGTTCACACCAGTTAGATTTTTTTTAGATTCACCTGCTACCTTAACATTCATGTCTTTGGAGTGAATAAAGAAGCTCGAGTACCCTGCGATACTGCACGCAGGCACAGGGAGAACATGCAGCCTTCACACGGAAAAGCCCCAGCGGGTTCCTACTGTGAGGTGATGGTGCTAATTACTTAACCACTGTGCCTGTATAGATGGATGGATAGATTCTAGTACATTTTGTCAATATAGTGATAAAATCAGAACACACTAGAGCTTTACACAGACTCTTATTCCTTTTATTCATTTACTTCACCAGGCAACTCTAACTATATAATTAGTCTGGAGAGACATGGAAGCACACTACAACTTGACCAGGTGGCTGACACATCGTCACAACTATTAGGTGATAACTGTCATTTCCAATAACTGAATGAACTGAATTTTAATAGCTTGTAATGATGCTGTAATAGGTGTAATAAGATGAAACAAGAAGGTAATAATATGCAAATAGCAATTTATTATCACCTGATTAGCAAAGTAATTTCTAAAAATAGATGATGACTGAGAACTTTCACAGACGAATGTCCAAATAATGATCTTCTGAGTAATATTACATTGAAATACATGTAATTACGTGATAACAGGGGATAATAATGCAGAAACAAATATATGTCTGTGAGGTAAAACAATTACTAATAGTATCAAAATATTATAGTAATAATATTAACCTCCTGACCATTAAATTGTAATATCTGTGCATTTGTATATACAAACTTGTGGTAGTAACCTCATAATTATAAGTTAATGTTGTTTGCTTTAACCGTGGCTCCATAGTAGAGTGGTTTACACTGTTGCCTTACACATGAAAGCTCCCCAGTTTGATGCTGGAAGGAGACTTAGATCCCATTGGGGGCTGCGACAGGAAAGGCATCTGGTGTAAAACTCTGACAAATCACATATAATGAGCCATCTGCTGTGGTGACCCCATGTGAATAAGGGAGCAGCCAAAAGAAGCTTCATTGATTGATGCTTTGACATATTAGGATACTGTTATCATATTATAATACTGGAGTGATTCCTGCATTATGTCCTTAGCATTCGTCTTTGTTTGAAGGTAACTGGGTAAACATTATATGTAATGTGTGACTTATTTCCTGGAACCACCTGAACATGGTAGTTTCATACCAGGAATCAGGGCTGCAACATACAAAAATCCCTGTTTCTGTCTAATTCCATATCATTGACATATTAAAGCAAACTCAATTATAAGACGTGTAATTAAGAGATGATAACTTGCTATTTCCATACAGAAATAGTTGGAATATTCACAGAGTAACATGGAGCGCTGTCTTTTGTCCCGTCTTCCTCCCCTAACCTTGAACTGGTCATGGCAGATGGCCGCCCCTCACTGAGCCTTGTTCTGCTTGAGGTTTCTTCCTGGTAAAAGGGAGTTTTTCATTCCCACTGTCACCAAGTGCTTGTCATATGCCGTGGGAGTGTCTGGTCGGGTGTGGTCCAGGTTCCTGTTGTCCATTCCCTGGGGTGGAGTTGGCCAGCTCATCACCTGCTTCCAATTTCCAGGCCTCCATCTAGAGGGTTTTTAAGCCAGGGCTGCCTGCTACTCCTCGCCAGTTTGTCCTGCTACCACCTGTGGTAAACTTGGCCTCCTCTGTGCTCGGACTCTGTGTGCCTGGATCGTGGGTTAATGTGTTCTCCGTCTCCTGTGTTCTCCAGATTCATCACCCGTCGTGCTCATCAGCAGTGCTGGTTCTGTTTCATTCCCGTTCTCCAGTCTGCCTAGAACCCTAGGACTACACACTCACCTTCTCCTCAGCCTGCCCTCCAGCCCGTACTTCAACTCCCCTGACACCTTGGAACCTGGACCAGCTTTCCCACACTCTCAACCATCCCTGGGACACTCCCACAGCAACCCCTTCCCTGCCTAATAGCCGGTGTTTTCAAGTAAGCACAAGACTCTCCACTAGTACCACTCACCTCTGTCCTTTAATTGTTTCCCATTCAGTAAAACCCTGTGTTTGCTGAAGTTCCCGCCCGTGTTCTCTTTGTGTTCAACGTCTGTTTCGCCGCCCTCGGGCCTCCCTCAGTTCCTGCGAATAATTTCTGTTAGACCCAGTCTTGCTTAAGTTCCTTTTCCTTTCAATAAATTGTATATAGTTCGAGCAATTGAGTTTGCTCTTGAGTCCACTGCATCCTTGTTTGTGACAGTGCTTGCTAAAAAGGGGTTGTCTGATTGTTGGGGTTTTTCTCTGTGTTACTGTAGGGTCTTTAGCTTACAATATAGTCCATTGAGGTGACTGCTGTTGTGATTTGGTGCCATATAAATAAGATTTAATTGAAATTATTGTTATCTCCTTGTTTCCATATTATTACTACATTATTCCTAGCCTGTAATAGGAAGTGCTGCCAACATTTTAAATATATTCATACCAATATGTATTTTGTTGAAATATATATTCTTATATTCGATTATTAATAACATAATTATAGCACAATGAAGGAACATTGGGAATTTAATGTCTTGCTAACCACTGTACGCATCATAATTGACATTAACAGGGTTTGTGTGGGTACAGTATTAATCATCCGCACCTACATTTGCCTCAGTGTCTGATCTTTAAGAGCATTGTATGGAATAAACAACACATCTACAGTACATTCACATTGCTAGCACTATTCTTTTTGCCTTTAACCTCTGACATTGTGCTGTTTAACAGCACAACATGTGGCATGCCTCATTATGTAAATTGTTTCCACGGTCACTAATAGTGTCTTTTCTTTGCAACAATAAACTTAGTGCACGTACACATACATGTAAATGCTTGTCTGAAATTATACGCTTCCTACGTTACACACATGAATGTCATTGCATACACATCTTTGTCACACATACACAGAACCCAGGTTAGACACATTGATGACTCTCACACTGTAGGTGTGAGCGAGCATGACTAAGTGTGTGTCTGCAGTGGGCTGCTGTTTGTCCACACTTTTTTTCAGCCTTCCGCCCAAAGCACACTGGGACAGGCTCCAGCCACTGGACACGGATGAGACTTACAATGCAGCACAATGAAAACAGATGTTTACTGTCGCTGTGAAATGGTAGTGATGTCCAAGCTGTACAATGCAATGTTGAGGAGTAAAACATGGACAGGGGAGAGCAGTGTGGCACAGATATAAATTAATGTTGATAAATCACTGAGTATAACCTTGATTGATGCACAGTGGAATGCAGCTAAAAAGGTAACTGGGCAGATTCACTAAATGGTTGAAATACGTAAAAAGAGATTTTGGTGTGCACCACTGCGTGCTGCTCAGTGCTTTGTACATGAAATTGGCTTTATAAGGTTGGTGGTGATCGATCTGAAGATGAATAGAAACCGAAATGGTAGCCAAATGTCTGCTCTGTCTGAGAAAGCGAAGATGAAAACATTTGTGTACTGTGTCCATCATCTCCTGCCGTGCCCACGCTTCTTCACACAGCTCAGTCATGAAAGTGAAGCGCGGCCAGCAGAAAAAAAGAAACTGTACCTCTTTGTTAATGGGGCTTTTCTTTGAACTGAGCTAGCAGAATTTACTTATTGCAAGCAAGCGTGAGATCGTCGGAATGGTGTATCTGAGGATATAGCCTTAAGTTCCATTTGAATAATATATAAGCCACATAAAAGGTTGATGACAATGTCAGGTGTAAATGGGGTACGTCTGTCTGCACAGCTGAGGAGAAAGGAATCTGTTGCTGACACCAAAATATTCATCAGAGATTCAACTGATGGTGATAAAGCTTTAGGCTTGGCTTTTATACAACAGGACTCGAGAAAAGATGAGTCAGTCCACTTCTTTTGTATTTTTCACCTTTGCTAAACATACTGGAGCTCATGAAGAGCCAAGAGCGCTGGGCTAATTAGTCTTTTTGAAATGATTGATATGAAGGTTGTGGACACATGCCAAATGAGTAAAGCCTAGGATGACTCATGAGCTTGGATTTTGCCTTTAAGTTTTATGCATTGTTGCACAGTACAAACATGTGAGATACTCAAACAAACTGTTTTTGACTTTACAGAGTCCTTGATGGCATGCAGGGCTTACTTTATTATGATGGCTCATGCAGAGATAAACAGAGTGTGGAATTTTATATATATATGTGTATATAGTGATTCTCCCTTAAGACAGTCTGGGGGAGTTTGTTAAATAAAAATGTCTATGCATTTATCATATTAAGGCAAGTTAGCCCAGAAATAAAGCCAGTTGCGTTCTGTTATTTTTCCACATATAAATGAATAAATTCATTTTGCAGACCTGTGTGCCCTCTGCAAGATGGCACTAAATACAAAATCGACCTTGAAAAATTAAAATCTCAAACTTTGTAATGACATTTTTTACAGTACTGTGTGAAAATTTTCATACAAAAAAGGAAATAGGTGCAGTGATTTACTGAAATATGCAAACATAAGGTTACTTGTAATTTCTTTAAGCAGTCTTCAGGAATAGTTCTGCTGGCTACTTGAAGGACATTCAAAGCTTTTCTTTAGATTTTTGACTGCCTTCTGTTTCATTCTCTGCCAACATTATCCCACACTGCCTCAATAATGTTGAGGACTGGGCTCCGGGGAGACCAATCCATGACCGCATTCAGAATTCCATCAATTTTGACAATGCAGCCCCAAACCATGATACCTGTCCTGACCACCTCTGTACACACTGATGACAATTTCAACTACATCCGACCTGTTGATATTTATTTTTAGTCCAGTTCTTGTGTGATGCAGCGTACCTCAGCTTGACCATTTATGGTCTCAAGTGAACTGTAGATAATAATAATAATAATAATGGATTGGATTTATATAGCGCTTTTCAAGGCACCCAAAGCGCTTTACAATACCACTATTCATTCACTCTCACATTCATACACTGGTGGAGGCAAGCTACAGTTTAGATCAGCCAGATGCATCTCTCAGATCCCGTATAAGGTTTCTTCTGGATTTTTTCCAATTTCTAAGGACAGGACTGCCAAATATTTTTCATCTGCTCTAGATAGTTTTCAGCCCTGTCACTTTTACTTTTATCTACCAAGTGTCCAGTTTCCTTAACATTTTTTAAAGGGCACACTCCGCACCATGCTGATATATTCCAAGCTTTTGATTAATTTTCAAAGAAAAACTTTGAGAGACATTCAGAAAACCTGGAGAACTACTCCTCAGGACCACTTTAAAAAAAATTATAAGACAGTCTGACTCCTCGGAAGCCAAATATAAAGAAATGAAGGGGGGATGAACTTTTGCACAGTACTGTGGATTATATAACAGTTTTCTGTGCAGTCTGGTATTAAATATAACAAATGATTTTAAGATGAAATTTAGTTTAATAAGCCTTCATTGACCATTGAGTGTTATTGGTTTAATGAGCTGGTCAGTGGTAAAGTGACTGCTGTGGACATATGAGCAGATATTGTGAAATTATCTTGGTTTAGATGAAGTCTAATATAGGAATTTACATAGCATGTAGTGACATACAGTAGCAAAAACATCCGGGACTCAGACCTTTTTGAGTTAAATTTGGCCGCTGTCATCTTCGACCAGTAGCTGCTCTGCTACAAACACTCCTGCTACTAGGAATTTCTGTTGTAACCACCTGGACGTGCACTTGATTACTGGAAGTCTCAAATGTGTCATGTCTCCACCATAATTTGTGTTTCAGCAAAAAAGAAAAAAACTGCTAGGAGACAAATTTGGCAAGTGGGGTGTGAAGTGATCGACAGTCATGCTCCTGCTGGTGCTGCTGACCTGGTCCTTCTCCTTCAGGCTTAGGCATGGTAAACTCTTAACTAAAGCCTGCTGTTTAGTCCGTGGTTTGTATCCAGAGATCCAGCTTTCATTAGCAGTGGCCGTGGCAACAAGAAAGTTGGGTTGGTCTGATACAGAAGTACATGTTTAATGTCTGGACTAGTTTGGGAGCCATTTGTGACATCTTAAATGCACATACAGATGATATTGTGGAGAAATCATTCAAAGATACATCTGGTAAGGTTTTTGTCTCTGAGGTCCGAGAATTTCTCCAGTGCAACTTGTGGTCTAAAGCAACATCTCCCTCTCCTCATATTCAACCGCTTGTGGCAGATGGCTGCCCCTCCCTGGTTCTGCCAGATGTTTCTTCCTATTAAAAGGGAGTTTTTCCTTGTCACTGTTGCCAAGTGCTAGCTCACAGGGGGTCATCTGATTGTTGGGTCTTTATCTTAAGATATAAAGCACCTTAAAGCAACTGCTGCTGTGATTTGATGCTAGATAAATAAAACGTGAAATTACACCTAACAATGTTTTAGGTTGTAACCTGGAGAAGCTGGGTTATGAACTTTTTTACACATATTGTATTTCCTTGTCAGTGAGGCAGTTTAACACTTAAAGTGAATAATTCCAATGCAAAAGCAAAGTTTGGCCAAGGTAGTTAGAGTGCTGTGCTGGGAATTCTCTAGAAGCTGTCTCCTTCAGTTGTCATTGTTCTGTTGCTATATTTATTCCAGCACTGAGTCTGAATGGAGGCAGTTATAGGGTTTGCCACCTCTGTGTGATTACTTAAACACAACATTCAGCTTAGTCCGCTCTCCATTCTGCAGTTTTCCTCAGTGCTGTAGAGCATTTTATCGTCTTTACGCTCTGTTCTTTTGGGGAATTTGAAGCTTGCAGCTAGCTTTAATTTTTTTGGTCCATGCTCTGCCTCTAGCATGAACCTGATTTGCTTCTCTGTACATATATAATACTCCAAAAGTTACAGATGGAAATATTTTAAAAGGAAAGTATTTCCTTACATGTAGTAAAATACTCCCTTGCTTTAGATACTAGCTTTTCGTGTGCGACTTACTATAAGCACTTGTACTACTACTCGTGTAACATCTGGGCAGCTTGTTTCTCAAACCAGTAATCTCTTCTTAGTGCTTCTTGAGCATCTTTACATGTGCTATGCTCCGTGTTAATCACTGTGCACATATCATTTGTTTACACCAACATACATACATATGTATTGAGCTGGCTCGATGACCAAACAAGTGTACTGTATGGTCAATATAAGCTTCACAGTCGACACTGTGCAGAGGAGATGACAGGATAATTACAGGTATGTACGGTTTGCTGATAGCACAGTGGGAAAGGTCAAGGGGTCAGCAGATCAATAGATTTCTTTCTGTCAGCCATGTGAATATTCATAACAAGGTCAGAGGTGATCATTTGTTCACACAGTGAAAGCAGTAAATCAGTGGATCAAAGAATCATCTTTAATTCATTGTTTCGTTATCTGATTCACAATTCCTTTCATTTCCCTCGCGGATAATGCATCAGATAAACATGCAAATGATCACTAGTTTGCATGCACATATTTAGGTAATTTTTTTGTCCAGTATCGGACATCCTAAAATCTTTTATTTAACCTTATCCCATTAGGCTGTACTCCTTCCTTTTCTTAGCTATTTACTGTATACTCTCCGATTCTCTGATTTTATTTGGTGTATCTGGTTAGCCTTTCTAAGGTACACAGGAAAAAGAAAACATTTCAGAGAGGCCTTTTTTCCCAGGGTAAGGACTAACAATCTCACTGCCCTATAAAATGAGATCTGTGCCCTTATTTGCACCAAGGCCCCACAGCACAATCTCACCACGAGGAGAGAAAACGCCACAAGGCTGGCAGATCGCATCCATGGGCAAGAGGTTCAATTACTTCAGTTGTCATGGAGCAATAAATGACAAATTAAGTGGCTGGCACTGAACACTGCTTGAAGGAGGCTGTGTCAGAATTCTAATGTCAGCTGTGTCTGACAGTGGGTAAAGAGATAGACAGCGAGAAAGAAAAAAACCTTAAAGTTTGGCAAAGGAGAAAAACAGACAACTGTTTTTCAGCAGGATAGATTTTCCTTGACCTTGATTCACGATATTAGGCGTGTTGGCTGCTTGAAAGATGGTTCATGGATGTTTTAATTGCTTTTTAAAAGACCTTCGTGTTATTTATAGGTCCAGTAAACAGCAGGGTGTATTGTTTGGCTGTGTTCATTTAGTCTAACATCTTTATCTGATTATATCCTTTTCAGATGCCCGTGATCTTTGCTACGACAGACTGGAACAGGCATTGTAATCCTGTAATTAATAGAGTCTGCATAGAGAATTTAGACACCGGCCTAATGCAAGTTCTCTGTAGTGCCAGTTTTCATCACGCTGCAAATCTCAATAACTCTAAAGCCACACTAGCAGCATTGTGAAGCTTTAATGAACGTACACACTGAGAAACAAAATCTGTGGATATTAAATGGAGACATTGTGCCACTCTCCGTGTGTTACTACTGTTAGGTGATACATGTAAAGATTGGCCTAATGGCCGTGTTGTATGAACCAGACATGAAAGCAGCCCACATTATTTCATTAGATGTCAATGCAAAACAGAAGACGTTGTCTTAATAGTGTATTAATGGATGACAGAGAGTATATATATATATGGAGATGTAGGTGACCCACACCTACCCCACATTTGCCTTATTGGTTCAAGAGAAGGAAAAGAAACACCCCCCTTTGTGATATTCTACTGCTAGCTATGAACTACAAGCCAAGTACGTGTTTATATGAGTTATTGCAAATTACCTTCAACTACGCTACACTTAGCAGCAAGCACCTGACCAAACAGCAAATGTGAGATCATGATTTACTTTCTTTGAAACTGCTGAACCCTCAACCTTTGGCAACCACTTTTGATCACAAGGCGACTGCATAGGTCAACATGGGTTGATTGGAATCGCTCTCAGATTAGCAAAGGCTTGCCATCCAATTTATAAATGCAGATAGACTGCCAACTCACTGCAATGAGTCTGAGTCATTTTGCTGCAATGGGGGCAACTTGTCTGTTTGCAGTACAGGAACTGACTCAACTCGTAGCCAACTGGTTGCATTCTGGTTATTTTCCTTTGTAAAAGCAAGGCTGCCTGCAAAGCGCTTGTGTCAACAGCTACGTGATGAAGTTGTATCTGAAGGTGAATTTCCATTTAATGTGATGTAGATGGCAATGGCTTTGCAATGGATTTTCAACAGATGGCAGCAGATTTGCAAGTTAACTGAACTGTATCATAAACAGATTACATGCAAACCAATGTGACCTAATTCAGTCAGAAACTGGTGGCAACCTGACTCTGTTTTATTGGGATTTAATTGGTGTTTTATCACACCAAAGTTGCGCAGACCTGGTGCCCATTTTTGAAGCAACCATTTCAAACCCAACAAGCCGGCCGGTTCAGTGCACACAGCTGCAATAAATTTTGTTTGCACTGCAGCCTCCAATCACTGTTTCTCTAGTGTGTAGCATTAGCTGTTAAATGCTAAAGACTTAACATTTCTATTGCCTTCCATCAGGTAACATTGGGTTAAATTTGGTTAGTCCGTGTTCTACTTCAGTAGAACTTGATTGTTCTACTTGAAATGTCATTTGCATTTAGACAAACAGAAATGGCTAAAATCTGGTTTATAAATATTGGCTGAAGGATTTAACTGAAGTGGCCATCTAAACAGTTCATTCAATAATACAATAAAGTGAATGTAATGATTTAATAGATTAGTCTAAATATAGGCTTTAGTCAGACAGACTGGACAATATCTTCAGAGGTGTGAAAAAATCTTTGCCCCCTTTCAGAATTCCTATTTTTTTCTTTGTATGTTTGTCAATATTAGACAAAGATAACACAAGTAAACAAAATGCAGTTTCTAAATGAAGGTATTTATGATTAAGGGAAAAGAAATCCAAACCTATTTGGCCCTGTCTAAAAAAAGTGATTGCCCCCTAAACCTAATAACTGGTCGGGCCACCCTTAGCAGCAAAAACTGCAAACAAGTGTTTGTGATAACTGGCAATGAGTCTTTTACTGTGCAGGAATTTTGGCCCACTCATCTTTGCAGAATTGTTTTAATTCAGCCACATTGGAGGGTTTTCAAGCATGAACCGCCTTTTTGTTTTGGTAGACAGCAGAATTCATGGTTCCATTTACCACACAGAATTTCTTTTTTCAGTTTACAGACTTACTTGAATCACCTTCAATATAAGACATTGTTCACAGCGGCTTTAATACTCGGCCGAACCGACAGGTCTGCCATCCACACTGCCGAGCCACTGGCTTGCCCGAATATAAGGTTTTTTATACTAAAGTACCATCGGAAGTTTTGAAATTAATTTGATTGCTAAACACAGCGGATTAATGGTCAACCTTTAATCTGCTTAGTTTTTATTCCCCATTTTGAGCAGAGGTAAATAATCAAATGACTGAGACCAAACTGAACCACTAGGTCTTGTAATCAATTACATTTTCTGTCTTCAACCAGCTGGGCTTAAAGGAGGGGGGTGGGGCAAAACGAAAAAACATAAAATCATTTTATATCACTGCAGGATACAGACAGACCCCGCTGGCATCCTTTACACCCACCTTTCCTTCATCTTATCGCTGAATTTAAATGTATGTTGTTTGGAAAACATTGAGGTTGCTGACCTCTACTCCCTCGCTCCCTTCATTCTCTCCCCTCGCTCTTCTTATGTGATTTATTACTGGCCGTCCTGCTGGGTACATTGCATCCTGCTCAGCAGATAGACAGTGTAACTGAGTCATGCTGCAGCAGTTTTGTCAGGGTAACAAAACATTTGCACTGGGACTGTGAACTTACATCCCCAAGGTGACCTCCAGGGACATCCTGTTGGGCTACTCAAGGTGACAGCTGAGCACTTGAAGCACACTGAGCAGAAAGGGAATGCGCTGCAGTAAAATGAAGGAGGGCATCACGCGGATGAGATTCATTCATCTTAATAAAGAGGACCATCAAAGTGATGTGGCTGCAGAGCTCCTAGTTAGACAAGGGAAGAAAGGCAGGGAGACAGAGAGAGGAGGGAAGAGAAGCAGACAGGGCTATGGGTAAGGCTTTCCAGCTGTAAACACAATGTTCTTTCCCCGGCATCATTCCCCTGAATAGAACAGTACCTACCTGTTGGCAGCATACTGGCAGAAAAGCTCGTTTTTGCTGAAGTGCTGCAAAGCACATTTTAATTTGACACCCCAAATGCTTGGTAGCACAATTATTCTTTTAAGTGAAAATCTGTCACACTTTCATAAAAATAAACGTGTTTTGCTACTCCACATCAATGGCTGACATACAGTAGCACAGCAGCGATTCAAAGAAGAGTCGAATCACAAAGGCTGTTACATTCCTGTTTTAAACACCCACGTCTGTGGGGTCTTTCCCATAAGATATCTTCTGGCATACAGGGAATGATGCATTTTATGCTGCCAGCAGTGTCTCTGTAATAAATACCGGGTATTTATCTCAAGCAGGGAACAAACTGGGAAAATTGCATCGCCTACAGATGCTACGGCTACACTCAAGTTCATCATAAAATAGAAAGGCAAAGACGTCACTTATTGATTGACAAGTAATCTCCTGTAAAAACAAAAGCAGAGTGACAGCTTGAGTGGTTTTCCTTACAAGAGTGATAGCATGCAGAGAAAAGTGTACCGCATCACCTCCTACCTCTTCATGCAACCAGCTGCTTCCCCCTCCTGCAATATTTAAGACTGATCTGCTGACAAAAAAGCTCCAAATATATCTATATTTTCATGTAGACGGGCTCTTTTTTTCGTAGGCTTGTTTGTGTTTTGACAGAAATCTGGTCGTTTAGCCCCGTAGAGGAATATGCCTAATATTCCAAAAGCTGTCTTGTGTGTCTACATGACCAATTTAAAACCAAATTAATTTTGGTTGATGGTCCTTTTTTAGGGGCTTTTATTTGATGGGGCAATGTAGAGTAGACAGGAAAGTAGGGAGAGGGGGTGATTTACATTTGAGCCCAGACTACTGCAGTAAGGACCACAGCGTTCAGTGCAGCATAAAAGAGTGTGAAGTAGATTAAAAAATTTAATTTGACATCTTTCATTTTGAATGTGTTCTATTTACACTGTAATAATAGCATTTGGGTCTGGCTTGGAAATGGGTGATCTACAACATTCATATTGTGCATATTACTTTGTGCATGTGGGGTTGTGTTAAAATCATTGTGCATGCATGTCACGGTAAGTAGAGTTAGTACAGTTGGTCTTACGCTGGGATTTTTTACACAGCTTTTATTGCATTTTCTAATACACACTTAAAGGTCACTAATGAGGTTACACTGTCTTTACAAGAGAAGCCCACCGACTGTGACTAACATTTTCAGAACCACTTTACTGTACACAATAAAAACAAAAACCTGGTGGCAGCAGGATATTATCTTTTTTATTTCATGCAGCCTTCATGATAAAATCTGGTGCTTCTGCTGTAATGGTTAAAAACAAAGTACACAGGACTTAAGTATGCAGGCATTTATAAAAAAAAAAAAAAGTACGTAAATCCTACAAGGTCCTAAAATGAATACAACTTCAGATGAACAACAATGCATGACACATTACAGTGTGTCATTATTTAATATCATTTATCAAATACACCCTATGCATCATCTGGCAGAACTACGTTTTGCAGCAATATCTTGATCATTTTCTGTATGACTTTATCAGTAGCTCACATTGGTGTGAAGAAATCCAGGTGCATTCTTCTTTACTGTATTAGTTCAGTTCATTGAGGTTTGCAGGAATTCACTTATACTATCTCTGTTTCATGGACATTGTTCCAGAAGCCTTGTGGTTTTGTTCAGTTTCAACTTTGCAAATCTAAGTACTCTCTCATGTTCTTTTTAGAGGGAAAGGCTTGTTCCAAGTAAGCCGTACTTTTTTAGTCTTTTTATAATTGTCTAACTGTCATTAGCTGTAATGTTTAACATGCTAACTGAGGCCTATAGAGTCTGAGATGTAGCTCTTGGGTTACACAGTCTTGGGTTTTCTCTTTACATCTTTACAATACAAAGTGTCTTGTACAGCGTGACTTACATTGTGATTTGGTGATATATAAAAAACAAATGTAAATGAACAGGATGCTATTTGAACCTTAAGCCTCAGGCTGCATAGTCAGATGGCTGATTGCATGTTTCCTGCTGTTGATTGATCTCCCTTTATAGGACAAACCATTTATAACCATTCAATACAGTTTGTAGCTGGGGAAGTGAAAGAATGGATGGATATTTTTGGTAGACCCTAAATTTTACCATTTTTTCTGAGTCATGATTCATTTGCGTAAACATATGCATAAATTCTTTAGCTGGCACATGGGGAAAATATCAAATGTTTAACAATTATCTGTATAACAATAGTCGCTCCTGTTTCTGTTGTAATTTGGACAAAACAGGCACAAAGTTCTCTGAAGTGGATGAATCATGATACCAAAAAAGAAAATCGTAATAAATCCAGATTTCAGAAGAGCTGTAGAGAAACCTTACTCAAATGACACCCACATTCCAGATGTGCCCGTTCGTGTTGTTTACTATCTTGCATGATACATGCAGTATGCCAACAAAAAGAAATATTGAAAAAGGAGAGAAAAGATGGTTCAGGGGGGTTGAAGTTATGTGAAGAAGCTTGCCTGATCATTTTATGAAACCTTTATTCTTATAAAAAGAGACAGCAAACAAACAGAAACCTGTTTAGAAACAAACTGTCTTGTTTATATGTGGAATAAAAGCAACTCTGTTACAGAGGATTGATCATTTTGAAATCCGAAACAGATAATAGTCAGCCCAACGGCCGGCTAAGATGAGATGCAGGTTTCAGAGGTCACACTTCTGTCTTGCTCTGCACTTACAGATTTATTTTTATTTATTTATTTTTTATTTTTCAAACTCTTCAGTCTTCACCCTTAAGTGACAGCAGTGCTCCCTCTGGAGCCACAAAGGGCTTTCGAAAGTTTTTATTTCCACATAATGCAGTAGTGCTTTCAAAGACCTGTAACCAGACTTTGATGTGTAAAATCAGCGGCTATCTCCTCCAAGCTTACGGTACTTTCATCTGCTGTACAGAAATAGAAGAGTTAAATAAAACAAACTACAAACACCATGCGTCACTAGAGCCATAAAGACTGATGCTCATCACAGGGAGCGTTATATATTATGTTATTTTATCTCTACCGCAGTCAACAATCACATGTTTATCAGGTGAAGACAGTTTAATGAGAGTGCAGTTATCGCTGCTGTGTGCAGCTGCATGCATGGACAGCATTTGTAATATCCCGGGCTTTTAGGGGAGTGGCATGAGCAGCACCAGAGACACGGCATTAAAACAAAAACCAATCTTTGGGATCATTGCCGTGGAAAAGACAGTTTGAGACTTCTGAAAGTGGGGCAGAACAGTCCGTTTGTTTGACAGGAAGAAGAAAGACGCTGTAATGCGATTCCATGCAACAGCTATTCTATCACAGAGCTGGCCTCGTGCCTCTTTGCTTCACTTGTATCCTTTAGCAATTTTCACTTCTCATCGACGCAGATGAATCTCTGCTGGGCCTTCAACCCGATCGTCGTAGTGCAGATTGTTCCTCTGTGGAAATATCACAGGAGGCCAACAGCTGGCTGTAGTTCATTTTTTGTCACTTCACTTTTTCAGCCACATCATTATTGAACAAGTCTGTTCAAGTTCAGAGGAGATTTCAGACTGTAGCACTTAAACAGATGGCAGTCCTCTAGGCCTTTTCTGCAGAAACAAAAGACTGACAGAGATAAACCTAAATGTAATATCTTTTTCCTGCAGTTTTCTTTTTGCAATCAGTTGTTTCCCTGTGCACAAGTTGGTTCTCCAGCCAAGAATGAGGCGTATTTAGAGCAGTGGAAATCTGTGTGTTTTTGTGTGTCTCCTTCGGTGTATCCTTCCTTAAAGATTTGATATTAGTGTGAAACTTAAGCGGATATTCACACAATGACCCAGCACATAAACTATCATGTGTGGCATACAG